TACAGTCAGCAGGAAGTGACAGCAACATAGTTAGGTTACAACACCAACGCAACAAATTAACCAATCACAAAGCTCGTTACAAAACGATCACCGGAAATCTGCTGTTATAGGGAAACACAAAAGCTTCGATTTGTTGCAAATTGATCACACATTTTAACTAGTCAATTTAACAACGCAAAAACCGCCGTCTTTTGTCATCAGAAAACACCTGTTGTCGAATGTCCCGACTGTTTTCACTCCAGATTTTAAGGCTTCGCAGGATTTGATTTTTTTTATCGAGAGACAAGGACTGGCCTTCGAAGACGAGGCACTCACGGGGCAAGAGGTGCCAATCCTCTGGACGAGGACAGCAGACAAAACTCGCCTGACAATACCCGGCAGGAAACGCATTCTCACGGCGAGTTGTCGTTCCAACGCATATAATGGAACCTGGTACAAATATTGAATCACTTTAGAGTGTAACTTTTTATCGGAAGTTTGATTTTAACAAAATTGATCGGTATTTTCATGAGTATATGAACGGAAGGGCAATATGAAAGGGAAAAAGGGCACCAAAACTGAATCGAAGGCTTTTGTCAAGCTCCTCGAACTTTGGGAAAATAATCAGTTTTCTCGGCCAAAATACAATAAATTGCATATTTGATAAACCAACAAACAAACATAAAACCGAACATTTGGCTATAAAAATAGTAATTAAACAAAAACAGAATAAATATGAAAATACATTAATTTTGGTTGTTGATTACATATTCGTAGGAATCAGTTTGTATGTACTGTATTCTCTGTAACAAAGGCTTGCACATGTAGGATAATTTTTACGACTTTTTTTTCCCCCCAAAAGTCTCAAAACGTCGGAAAAAATCGAGGAAACACAAGCCTTAGTTTTCTTATCTGTTGATACTATCATAACCAGTATTAATGCAACCCATAGAACACCGCAGCGAAAGTTTTCAAAACTGCAAAATTTGTCAAGATCCGATTGCATTGCAAAGCCAACGCATAATGCAGAATACTTGCTAACTTTTTTTTTTTAATTATTCCCTGCGCCGCGTGTTTGTTTAAATGAGACGAGTCACATCAACAACAGGTTTTTGAAACTTCCCACTTGGTACACAACACACTTCGTTTTTCCTTTGATTTCCATTTCTCAAACTCGGCAGAACAAAGCAATCCCGTTCATTTACAAGCACAAACAAAGAACAGTTTTAAGGGACAATGGTAGGACACAACAAGTGGAACATCATATTCATGGCGAACTAGTTTTCACACAACAAATTCAGGTCAGGGCTTATTTAAAAGAAGTACATCCGGGACATTGCCGATTTGTTTTTCCTTTGGCCGAGTTGACATGTGTGTCGAAATGTGGTGGTGGCTGGGCCGAGCCCAGCCGAGCCGCCCCGATTATACGCGCATGAATGCGTGGACAGATGACGGGCGTGGGAAAACCATATTTCTAACACTCTGACCCGTTTATGGGCTGGGAAATGACAACAAGATGGAACTGCTCACATCAGGAGAAAACACCTTTATGGGGTGCCTCATGCTGTTCCCTTTCCAGCGGGAGCGATTTGATCTTCGAGTGTGCTGATCCGAGCTAGTTATGCTGTGCATGTTTCGAAGTTTTAATGTTTTCAAAGTTTGATGTTTTAAGTGTTTTATCCTCGACGTGGCATTATGTGCCAATTTGGGCATGCCACAAGAAACACACATATTATTTTAAAATAAGATTTGTATTTTTGCGTGGTGGTAGTATATTGCGGTAACCTCTCTCCCGAAGACGATCAGAGCATACTGATCGAAACGTCGAGTTTCACAACCAAGCGGTTTTTTCAGAGCCACATCTCTTCTCAAAGAGATTATTGTACAAGATGTAATACCGCAAACCTCACTAGTATACATATTTCTAAAGAAATTGCAAATTTAGGAAATCTAGCTAATATTCAAATAAAGAAGCGCACTTCCCCTTTAAATTAATCCTGTAGGTCTACGCTTGGAAAAAAATGCCTAAGTTTGAAATTCCGGAGTTGAAACGAGTCACTGATTTTTGTGACTCGAGTCCAGTCGAGTCGTTATAAAGAAGTGACTCAAGTCGAGTCGCCATAGGTCAAGAAGGTCGAGAAATATTTTTCGCAAACTTTTGCTTTTGGGGGGGGGGGGGGGCTCGAGTCTTATCAACCTTCGCTCAAGTAGAGTCGAGTCTTCTGATGAGGTGCTCGAGTCGAGTCGAGTCGAGTCATTTGCTCGCAGTGACTCAAGTCGAGTCGAGTCACTTACCCATAGGGACTCGAGTTGAGTCAAGTCACAAACAATTGTGACTGGAGTCGGACTTGAGTCCGACACATCTTGTCCATCAAGTCATTGACTCGAGTCATTACAACTCTGATCAACGAAGCGTCTCAACTGACTCGTTTTATTCTTTTAAAGAAGTGAAATATTTGCAATTGTGTATAACTTTATTAAAACCTGAGGTTTATTGCAAAGTCCGATGCACCCCTCCGGAACGGGAACGGCGATTTTCGCTCTAGCCGTGTCGGCAGACAACACTATGAGCAACAACAAAGGCGAAACAAATGACGAATAACAACAAGTGTTTGGAATTCCGCAGAGTCTCCATCAAACCCAGAATTATGAATCAAAAAATCGAAAAGAAAAGAGATCAGCAACACAGCTGTTGGGATGAATGGCTGGGAAGCGGCAGTGCGAGCAACACATATTTTGACCAAACCATTGTTCTTGTTTTTTTCTGACTGAAAATCAAAGCTGAGACAATCCGGGAAATGATTTTCTCATGCGGGATTATATCGATCAGCAATACCAAATACCAATAATCTATACCGGAATGTAAAGAAGTGAATTGAATTCTGATGACTGAGTCTGATTCCCACGGTATTATACAGCAGCATGCACGAAATCGTCTGATTTCCCATAATTTGGCTGCAATTTTCACCGATGCGTGTGAATAGGCCCAAGGAGAATATATTGCAAAATAACTGTAGATATTCACAGTAGTTTATTGATGGAATTTCTTATTATGACAACAGAGGTCGCACAGGGCAGGAAAAAAATCATGCCAGTTCCTGTATTCAGTATGCCATTCGGACCTCTGTCTCATACAAGTCTCATTCCTGAGACAGAAGAAATTGTTACCTATAAGGCTATGGGGGTCGTTGGATAAGATCCGAAATGTCGTTGGATATTGACTATATACTTATTTATGTTTATTGCAGAAATATTTGCCTCTTTATTACGCCGTGTGAATTAGCCATTTATTACCAAATACATTGGTAATGTTACAAAAACAAACCCAGCCAGATTGTGGACCAGTATACCAGAACAAATCCAAGGCCAAGGACCAAAGATTGAGAGCAAGACCAAGAACCACATGAAGTAGACCAAAACAAGAACAGAAGACCAAAGCCAAGACCAACACAAACAAACAAATATTAAGACGAAGACCAAAAAAAAAAACACCAACGACCTAGGCTAATACGACCAAGCCTTAAACGCAGACCAAGACCAAGAATCTAACATCAACGCCAAGACCATGAACCTATAAGACAAAAAGCTAGACTAAGAACAAGAATTGAGACCAAGGCCAAGATCAAGAACAGAAACCGAAGACCAATGCCTTGACCAAGACCCTTATGCCAAGACTGAGCCCAAGAACCCAAGACAAAGACTAAGACCTAACCCAACAATCCGAGGCCGAGGCCGAGGCCCAGATCAAAAACAGCATCCGAAGACCAAGGCCAAGACCAAGAACCGAAGATCTAGGCCAAGACCAGTAACACAAGGACAAGACCGAGACCAAGAACTTAAATCCGAGGCCAAGACCAAGAATTGAAGACCAAGATGATGAACCGAAGACCGTTACAACAAAAGCCTACAACCAAGAACATGAACCGAAGACCAAGACCCAAGAACCAAGATCAAGAACGAGAGCAAGCACCGAGGACAAAGGCCAAGACCAAGAATCGGAGACCAAGACCAACAACCTAAGACGAAGACCAAAAACCTCAGACAAAGACCAGATAGAGGGCAACTGGAGATCAAGGCCAAGACCATACATAAAGCAAAGACCACGGAACCCGAGACCAAGGCCAAGACCAAGACCAACGCCAAGATCTGCAGGTCCAATAACCGGAGACTAAGGCCAAGACGCAAAAACAAAACCCGATTAAGACCACGACAAAAATCAGACCAAGACAAAGAATCACAGATACAGGCAAAGACCGAAAATTAGAACAGCCAAAGAATAACCAAAGACAATGACTTTGATCAAGGATGTAAGATCGCGGTACCGAGACTGAGATCAAGGCTTAGATTGAGATCGAGAGCATTTTTTCGTACTTCAAACTAAAATGTTACCTACACTTCGACTTCAAATTGGAAAAAATTCGTTAGTTTCCATACGAAGACAACAATCCAAACACATATAGTGGAATGTTACTGTTATGATACCAACAATCAAACGGATTGTATTAACAAAAAGACATGTTTTCTGAGCAAACAAAACAGAAAGCCTTTTGTAAAATCTGTGAGTTTTGAATGGTTCACGCGTCATGGAAGCCTTAACCAACGGGCCAAAGCACGAGGCTGACTGCACCAGTGAAAGGATCATACCAGCCGTAGGAAAACAATCTTACACGCGCCAAGCCAGCCATCTTCCGATGTACAGTTTCCTAGTCTTAACAGAATAAAAACACTCATTGAAGAAGGAACAGACGACTGCATTTTTTAAGGGGCATCCCGGCTCAGCCTTGGATTGACGATCTAGGGTCCAAACAATGAGAAACTAGGCTGAGGTCTAAACCAACGAACAATACGTGTGGTGTTTGATGACGAGCGATGTACGGCGCCGCGGCTACGTTCGGCCCCGTGCTCAGCTCCCTTCTCACGGTGATCCGCCACGCGTGATCTAATCGCCGACTCGCGACCTCCACGCGTAGACCACGCCAAATTGTTTTACCAAAGAACCAGTCACTCTTACGTCAACATACCACAGCTCCCACAACAAACACATGGTGAACAAAAACCCCGCTTGTGTATAAAAACCGCGCACAGATTTAAAGACCCTGTCACTTTTTTTCCCGCTGAGGTGGGATTGCAAGTTTGGATTTGTTCTAAGAATCGGTATTTTTGACGAGCTCTAAAAAAAGATGAAGTTGACTTGCGAAGAAACTTTCGAGCAGGTCTCTCGACAGACCGAGGTATCCGGGGTAACCCGTCTGCTGTGTTCAAGTCGACGGGAGGAAGTCATCTGTGATCGGCGGGGGATCGAGTGGCGAAAAGGTTGGCGCGGACATAATCAGAGTTTAACTATCACGTCTTAATTACATTCTTTTCATCTCCTCATCCCTCCGCGTCTTGACATTCCTCTAAGTCTGGTCTTATGGGCATCTTCATTCTATTTCCTATATGTCTTCTCTCAGCTTCGTGTTCTGATGTTAAGCCGTCCACTTAAAATACTGATCGTTTTTTTCACTTGTGAAAATCTGTTTCAAGTTCCCTTTTCAAAGTTTTATCATTTCATAACAAGATCTTGTACTTCATAATTCAGAATTCCAATGTGTATTTTTAATCTTTTTTGTTTTCTTGTTCTTTCTGTTGTTTTCATGTTCCATTTTTTGGCATTTTCTTTTTCAAGTTCTTTTAAATCCACGATTTTGCTTTGTTAGTGTTTATCTTCAATGGATCACGTTTCCCTTGGATTTGACGGTCTTCGTGTTCATCTCGCGTATTCTGTTTTCCCAGTAAATATTCTTGTCTTTGTTCCCGATCGAATTGCTCCATGTCTCTCAATGTGCCAAATATTGGTTTTCGTCTTCCACTTTTGTCTTTTTCCCCCACAGTTTCTTTCAAATATTGCCTACTATATTCCTGCCCCTCTTGTCTTTCAAGATTCGTCTTCTTCCTTGTTAAAGAACTCGAAGTTATCCATTTTTCTCACAGTCTGATGTTTCTTTTACCATTCTACAGGTGATCGTCTTCTAGACATCCCGTGCAAGGTCTGCGGTGACCGTAGCTCGGGCAAGCATTACGGGGTCTACGCCTGCGACGGCTGCAGTGGGTTCTTCAAGCGAAGCATCCACCGTAACCGCGTCTACACCTGCAAGCAGCAAGGCAAGGGAGGAGGGTGCTGCCCGATTGATAAGACCCACCGCAACCAGTGCCGCGCTTGCCGACTGCAGAAGTGCTTCGATGCTCACATGAATAAAGATGGTAAGTTATATCACACAATTCCTTCGTCGGAACCATAACATCATTCTTTTTCCGTAAGGAAAAATATCGTGTTTTCATTAAAGATGTATTCTGTCCGTGCTATATTCGAGTTTAGTGATGTGCTCCCGTGCACTTTTCGAGTTTCACCTCGAAAAATAGATTTGTATTTTTCAGGTGCAATTTTCCTAGCAACATAAAAGTTATTTACCGTTGAATGGGACATTGAACGAACACATTTTAAAATTTTAAATTTGCAGGCCTTCAAGCAGACCCAGGTGAAACAGTTGTAGAACAGTAGGATCAAAATCAGGATAAAAGTAGGATTTTCGCGGGCTTTCGGGAGTAGTTTTCGTTGATACTCACCCATGTCCACAGCATCATAAGCCTCATTTGGCATGTTCTGTACTCACAACATTGCTCTCCATCCTCAACTAAGCTCTTGGAAGTACAGTTGCAGTACTCCTTCGCCCCTTCGCCCCTTCGCCCACATATGACAGTGTGTGACACTGTTGTGAAAAACTAAACAGTCAATGAGATTTCATTTTTTCGGAGTTGTGGGACAAAAAAATGCAGGAAAAAGTAGAAATTTCAAGAAAAAAGTAGGAAAAATAGAAGAAAGGTAAAAAATCTGAGAAACAAATAGGAAAAAGTATACTTGAAAGCCTGACATTGTGAGTTTTGGTAAGTGCTTTTGGTATGATGAAAGCGACAATGAATTTTCAAACCGTTTTTGCGTTGTACAGCTAGAGTGAGTAAACAAACGAAACCCAAATATCGGGACTATTGTTTTATTGAGGTTCTGCATGTAGAACTTCAAAATCTAGGATATGAAAGCCCAATTCATAAGCTATCTTTTAGTACAAGAATCATTCAAATCACTTATGTACTTTTCAAGTTACGGAATCTTAAACACAACCCCGTTTTAAGGCTCTGGTCACGGATCACAAAAAGGTGTACGTTCTCTCAGCAAAACGAAAACAATTCACACACATCCCTATGTGATTTGTTTTCGTTTTGCTGAAAGAACACTGAACTTTTTTTGTGATCCGTGGACAGAACCTTAAAACGGTGGTTGTGTTTAAAATTCCGTAATTTGAAAAGTACATAAGTAAGTTAAATGATTTTTGTACTAAAAGAGAGCTTATGAATTGGGCTTTCATATCCTAGATTTTGAAAATGCTACATGCAGAACTTCAATAAAACAATGGTCCCAACATTTGGGTTTCGGTTTTTTTTTAAACTCACCCTGTATATAGACTCTATTAGTTGAAACACAAATCACACAAACCAACAACTTAGGCCAGTTCTTTCAAAGACGTTTGTTTCTCAACGAGAACAACAATTCGCATTTTCAGCAAGCCGTTTTGTTAATTCTCTCATCGGCTGAATTCAAATTTAATTTCAAACGGCTCTAACTCCGTCAGCAATGTCGGCTTGAAATTTGATCGAGGGGAAAAACACGCTGATTTTCCGACTTCGTCTTGCTTTCTAAATCGATCCGCACAGATATTAGGGCCTAAATTAAATTCCTTGCGAAGGAAAATATATATAAATATATTCAATTAACTTTGCAACCGCCTGACATGCAGGCCCCGTTGTGACACCTCGATACGCTACACCAACTATCCGTTCAATAATATTCCAAATAATGTCCACTTGGGTGATTTCGCGCCATCACACGTCCGCGCCAAAATCTGCAAAATGAAGTTCCTGCTCCCTTCACACGTAAGATTTTTTCCCGGGCACGTCGATAGCGGTCGGCCGAACAGCGGATATACGGAACAGATTTTTGCATAATTTCGTTCGAGTGAGTGGAAATTAAGGCCGACAGGCGGGTCTTATGAAGCAGAAGTACATCTTTTTTTATTGACTTTCCTTCACTGCAAGATGAAGAGCTTAATAACGGACTAAATCATATGTCACTTGGTTGCTATTTATGTCAGATTCTACCTATAGTGTGCAGTAAAGTCATATCTTCTTTTGGCATAATATCATTTTTAGCTATACTCTGAAGGCCCTGGAGAAAAAATGATATGGCAGTTTATTTTCCATAATTTTCGCAGCATATTTTACAATACATTTTGGTTTAAAGTTGCATTCCCCGCGCTCAACATTATTCGACTTTTCTCTCAAAACATTTTCAAATGTACGCTTTATGCCAACCAAAAACACCCCCTACTTATGTCTGCAACCTTCTGAAAAAAAAAACACCCCAGGTTTTTATTTTGGGCGCACACAGATCTGCCTTGCGAGCAGACTGGTTACCGGTCCGTACATTAGCGATAGTGATTGTGAGGCGGGAACTAGGCCATCCCTCGAGACCGCAAGTAATTCCAAATTGGTGAAATAACAATTCAATAATTAAACTTAGGCCGATTTCTTTGCTCGATGTATCATTCAAAAGTGAATATTGTTTGTACTCGTATAGAAAAATAGCAATTTAAAAAAGGAATCTAGTGCTATATTCTTCGGACTGAAACTAAAAAAGGCAGTAAAACTGTGATGAGTGGTTTAAAATTTGATACAAAATAGACATAAATTGAACTGAACCATTTTCAACTAAAGCACAATTCCCACTTCGCATACTTTGTGGCTTAAAGGCATATAGGATCATGCATTTATTCCAAAAGTGACCGAATTATTATCAAAAGCTTACTTGGATTAAAGATCGTATACTGGTACTACCCCCCCCCCCCCCACACACACACATACATTATTCTGTCTGGCCTGCTGTCACTTAGAAGAAATCTAGGTGATAATTTCCAAAAATCAGTCAACTGACAGATTTTTGAAAAAAAAACCAACTTAAAGTGATATTAATTGACGAAATCGTGTTTCGTGATCAAAAGTTTGTACATTGTTTGTCACTGTTTTCTCGAAAAGTGTAATATCCGCTGAGCTGAAGCTTCAACAGGTAATAGGTTTTGAGCATTCTTCTTTGGATTTTGAGTGGTGTTATTATTGAAAACGAACAAAATGCATGAAAAGCAAAATCATTTAAATACGTTTAACTGCTCTCGGACGTTTCGTTATTCTTTACTACAAGTAACTTTATCTGCTTGCAATGCAACAAGATTCGCTATGGCAGCAAATCGGTCAATTTTTTAATCAAAACTCTCTGCAACTCTGGCCTGACGAGAGCGCTGTAAGCGGTCCAACCATACGACCGCTGTTTCACGCCTTCGTGTGAACACACGCCGGCCCGCCAAAATTAGCTTTCGGCGAGAAAACGGGAAATTTATGACAAAACTCTTGAAGCAATATAACAAAATGATGATAATGTTGACTTCAGCTTTGCTTTATAAAAACGGCCTTGACGCGAACGCGGGGTACCAGGAATGATGGGACGGCAAGCAAGTGACTTGGTCACACGGTGAAAAATTATTAGGAAGAAATTTATTACCAGAAAAACCGAAGCTAATGACCCATTGGTTACAATAATAGCGAACATCAAATAATAGGTCTAAAGAACACAGAGGCTTCCAAAGGAATTACGAATGAACACGTAAACCTCTGAAAAAGTCCCTTTAACGATGCAGATTCCTTTAAAAATGGATGTTTCTCTCCTAACTCGGATTGTTTTTTTCAACTTGTATGTTTTGTTTTAAAGCGCCCATGCAATGTATTTTGCTTAGTGCAATCCTTGAAAATACACCTTTGAGTCCCATTGAACCTTATTGTCAATTTTCGTTTTGCCATTTTCAAGAATTTTTTTTAAATTTTTTTTTATGCTAATGTGAATTTCCATATTCATGAGCAAAACTGTGATGTCATTCAGGAAGAAACCTCAATGTGATAGCTATTTCAGCAACACGGCAACATCGCTCTCAGTTGTCTGGAAAAGCATGTAAAATATTGGATGTTTAAAGAAGTGCACTGTTCAATAAAATTAACCAAAAAAGGGATATCAGATAGCTTTCATACATTTAACAGGAGTAGAAAGTTGTACAAAATGTGTTCCTAAGAAACACTCATAGCATGAACCCTTTAACGAAAAAAATACCGTATTCCGATTTATGGCATCTGCAACCCTCTAAAAAAAAGTTTCATTTCGTACACAAATAACTCACCCTGCGAATATTCCTCCCAAAAATTCAAATTTTTGTGAAGAAATAATTCATTAACTAAACGTCGGTGGATTTTTTTGCTCGTTGTCTCATTCAAAAGTGGATAACTTTTATATTGCTACGAAAATAGCAATTGAAAAAAAGCAAAATCCCTTTTGAAAGTGAAACTCGAATATAACACAGGGAATGCGTCTTTAAAATACACGACATTTTCACGAATATTACCCGAATCTTTTTCAAAGTTCAATAATTTTCCAAATTATTGGGTTTTTTTAAGCATGAATTGGAAACTCCACCAAGAGAATCCGCATCTGTTGTTCGAGCATTGTGTTGCATCTTTGTTCATTCAGTCATCTGACAGAAAACAAAACAAATATACTAATTGTTAAAGCTGACACGTACCGGCGCCTCACGCATGAGAGCCCAGGAAAAGATGGTAGGCAGTGTGACCCAAATGGGCAGCACAAATCCCACAATGACAATTATTCTTGATTCGGTAATGGAGCTTATCATTGATGATAAACAGAGTAAAACCAACAAATTAGATACAATGCATAACGACGCAGACGTCCGCGCGGGCAGCTGCGACTATTATTTCATCGACCAAAACAAATTATAACAAAATTGAAACCTCCAAATACACAATAAGGCCTGTTTCTAAAACAACAATATTTGGCCTGAATACGATTACAAAGTCATGAATCCGGAACGACGGAAAATTGATAAATAATTCCCATTGTGTTGCATCCTATGATTGATTCTGAAGGCGCGGCTGATGACAGCACCAAGGAGAGGTCGAGCACAAACAGTTTGTTGTGCATGTGAAAAGCGAACCTGTGTCAACGTCTGCGATGATCAAGTACGCATGTGAAATAACGAGTTGGCCAGCACGCGCCTGCACGAGGAGCTTAAAAAAACATACCACTCCATCTG